TTTCATACTTCCATGAGAATGTGAAATCTCAACCATTGTGTGAGATTTGAGGGTTTTTCTGTGATGATCAGTGGGTTGTAATATATTTTGTTGTGATGACATATAGTCTTGTAGGTGGCTAACATTTCAGAGGAATGTATGTATCTGATCAGAAGATGGAAGTGATACATTCTTCCCAAACACTGGTAATCAGCTCTAAGACATTTCATTGTCACAGCCAAGAAAAACGTGATCCTCAGTTACAATGTATTTTGAGGTTGTAGACAAGAATTTTAGCCCCTGGTACCCTTTTAATTTCTTTCTCTCACACTGTGGCCTCCTGTGGCAGGTTCATTCCTTCATCTCTGTTGTACCTTTGACCGCAGAATAAAAGCAGTTGTGTTGGCTGAGGCTGTAACAAGTACTGAACTTGGTCAATTTACTTGTTTTATCATCTGTTATGGATATTTTTTGAGTGTTATATATGAAGGTTGTATTACATGTAATGTGAAACATTTATAAGTCATAATTGTGACAGATTTGTTTCCATCCATTTTCAACATTTCTCGCCAGTGTAACTCCATAGTATAAACAATTTTGTTCACGTCCTTCCATGTTCCACTTATATTTTTGCACCAATATCAGCAGACTTCCTGCCAATAAATAGACCATTTTAAATGATGGATCATTTCAAACCTGCACATCTGTAAGATGACTTTTGTGCCATGGCCAGAATGTTGAATTATTCTCAATTCTGTAGGTATGTCATTAAAATAGTTCTCTTCAGACTCTTCTTATTTGACTACCTTTTCTGAGCAATTTATATATTGTTGTTAACATATGAAGCAAACTAGAAATATATTGCAGGCATCTTCAGAGACATATAACCTGTCTAAAATATGAATGGAAATCTGTATTATGGTTACCTTCTTTTGTTCCATTTTGCCATTTTATTACATTATTTAGCGCGTTGCCATCTTGTAGTTTTAATTTAAATCGGTATCATCAGTGTATGAAATGTTTTCCTATTCATATCCATGTTTTCCCATTTGTATTTGTTTTAAAGAAGTTGCTATTGTGCATGTTGAATGTCTTGACATGGAGCTGTGAACTCTGGTTCTGCTTGACTATTTATTATTGTGTGTTGTGGCCTACTTTATTACAAAGTTATAGGAGTATTTTTCTTTGCTGAGGCCACAATTTATCTTGACTATTCCTCGGTTGAAAGAAGACAATGTTGACTTGTTCAGCAAGATGGAGTACCACCTCATTGCCGTAGTATTGTGATGGGAGTAATGATATGCGTTCTGAGCTCTGCCTGTGGACGAGACTCCCGGTCACTTCTGGGGTATGAATGCGCTGGGCCAGTGATGGGCTTGAATGAATTCGACGTATCACTGCAACTGTCGAAGTAGCAGCTCCAGAGATCCTGTGGAGTGTATGGGCTGTCAGCTAAACATCTGGCATTTCACAAAAGAGTACACGTGGACTTTCTGATAACTCTTTTAATTAAGCATTATTTTACTGTTTTAATCTCTCTTTTTAATTATGCACAATGGTTATGAAAAAACATAGCATCATAAAATCCATGAGTGACTTTCTAGACATTCTGTATTGTTAGTTGTTAGATAGAAGGCTGGGTGGGTATTTCCATCCACACAATGAATCTTATTGTATACTAATTACATGTTAAATGTGACCACAGTTAACACATAATTAATATACATTAAATTTGTTGTGAAGACAGAAATAGTAATTGATGTGTCATGTCACACATCAGGATGTCTCAGTTTAAGATTGCTAGTCTGAATGTTGTGGCTAAAAGAAAGATATTTGCATTTCCGAGGAAGAACCTTGATCCAACCCATAGACTGCCACATTGTTACCTGAGCTATTTCAGATACTTAAAAAGTTGTGACATATATATGAATAGTGTAATAAATCTGGCATATTTGTTCTCTTATTGCCCCTAGATTTTCAGTTTGTGAATTCTAACTTTTGATGCTGTCAGTGAGCCAGGGCCTCCAATATAACATTTTATCAAAATTACTTTATTAGTTTCTAAGTTAGAGGTGACACAGCATAAAAGTCCCTTTTGTTTAAAACCTTAAGACTTGCTGAAGAAGTGCGTTGGGCAGAAACTGTCTTTCAGTTTCATCTTCAATATTTGTTTGAAACATTTTTCATGTTGATAAATATTTAACAAGTTACAATGAGATGCATGCAGAAACCCATCTGGGCTTTTTTGTAAAGTGCCTGTTGTATAAAGTGAAGCCATTGTTATCCTGTTTTAACATAAATACGATTAGTAAATATTCTTTTAAAATCTCTTCAACAGATCTTGAGTCGTTACATGCAGACAGTGGACAGACATGTAACTGTGCATATTTGCAACTTTTCATTGTGAATGTGCTAAAAATCTCCTCTTAATTGCAAAGTGATCCATTTGTTTTAAAGGTGGTCAGCCAATGTAGACCACTTTCCAAAACTGTTGAATAATGAATTGCCACACATTTATTTTCATGTTTAAAAATGCTTGTGATAATTTTGTCCAGATTGAACATGCAACAGATTTTCTTTGATTATTTTCTAGCCTGTATTTGGCCTTCTTTCCTGTGTGTGTGTGGAATTACTTTTGCTATTCTGTGCACTCATGCTGTAGTATTTATTGTGTTTGTGTGAATGTGAGGGCATGCATTTATGTGTGCATGCACACATGTGTACTGTCTTTTTCCCCAAAATTTTGTGCAGTCTTGAACAAAAACAGCTTAGTCACTCATGAAGATGACTGAGTCCTTGGATCTTGTGCATGTGTAGTCTCACAGAAATTGAGCAACTGGTCAATTTCTGTGAGAAAATATGTGTGAACCTAGGCTATGTCATAA